CAGCCTCTGGCTTGCTGACAGGCAGCTGACATCATTCTCCTCTTCCCTATGAGGTATGTTATGCAACTGAAAATCCCAACTGCCTTGCGGGGGGGGGTGAGTTTGAGGTGTGGAATGGAGTGTAGTCCAATCAGCTTCCATATGCAAATATACTTGGAACGCTGGGTGGGACTGCACAAAGCAGCCAGTCAACCCAGCCAGTGTCTTCTGAGTGGCAGTTTTTCCGGCCTAACACTAAAGGGGCCAAATTTAGAATGTTGCAATATAGAACGTTGCTATCTCTCCTTATTATATATAATTGAATAGTGGGTGCCAAAGTTCTAAAATGCACTCCTTTAGTGTATGGACGCTTGAACTGTCAGTCAGAAGACGCTGGCTGGGTTGACTGGCTGCTTTGTGCAGTCCCGCCCAGCGTTTCAAGGTCTTTTGCATATGGAAGCTGATTGGACTTCACTGCATTCCACACCGGGGAACTGATCTCTGTCATCTGGAGATCAATTGTAACAGTGGGAGATCTCCAGGTCCCACCTGGAGATTGGCAACCCTAGGGTAAAGTCAGCTGCACAGCAGGGGGTTGAAGAGAATTTGAATTAGCACCAGAGCTTTAAGATCTCTCCAACTGTCACCTGGAGACTGGCAACAGCTTGTCTGGAGTGTGGGCAGTACACCTTCACATCTATACATAGTAATGGGGAATACTCTGGTATGAATTTTCTTGGTTGCCAGCAACACATCCTTACCCTTGAGAATCTTCTAGCTCCTTCACTGCTGCCCTTTCCAGTCTCAATGTCCTTCTGATTTTTGGTTCCAGTTTCCCTTTAGCTTAATTATGGAACCAAATCTTTTTAACTATTTCAATTTCTTCACCATCAACCTTAAAGTTGTGTCATTCCCCAGTAGTCATTACTTTTGTCTGCTTGATGTTCAGCTGTAAAACTGCTTTGGCACTTTCTGCTTTAATCTTCAGTAGTCATTTCAAGACTTCATTATTTTCTGCCAGTAATGGCCGAATTATAAGCGAGACTGGGCATTTCTGTATAGCAGCCTGAATTAGCTTGTGCCTCTCTATTTGATACTCTCTCCCATAAGGCTTTGCATGATTAGCTATCATTTATATGCCTCTCTCAGACCTGACAATGTCCTCTGTTCTGACAATGCACTCTGCTCTAAAAGAATGGTTTACATTTTTTCATTTCAGCCTCAAAACCAAAATAATTGAGATATCAGTTTGTGGCTCCAGTACACTGCCTTGACATGGGGCGGATGTTGGGTGTTTCTAACCTAGAAGATTATGAGTTGACTCTGAGCAGAGTTCATCTGGTCAGCAAGGGGAAGAATTTCTTAATTGACAGCTACTCTGGATTTCTCTCCTATATAATGCCAGTGCCTGCTGTTGTTTGGGGCTCCTTGCCATATTACCCCCATTGTGGGTGATTTGCAGGGAAGCTGGAATGTGTATTCGTAAATAGAGATGTGCATTCTTTGTTCATAAGTGTTAGCATTTTATGTCTTCTAATTTGATAAATATTGAAATTGCTATTTGCTTGAAGATTTTTGCATTATGGTTTTGTACGTCAATAAATAATAGATACTTTGGAACATTTTTCTCTCTCTCTCTGAAACTATAGGGTCCCTGCCAGTTTCATCCCCCTCCCTTTGTTTCTCCCTCATCCCCTGGAGAGCCAGTGTGGTGTAGTGGTTAAGAGCAGCAGATTCTAATCTGGAGAACCGGATTTGATTCCCCACTACTCCACATGAAGCCAGCTGGGTGACCTTGGGTAACTCACAGCTCTCTCAGAGTTCTCTCAGCCCCACCTACCTCACAGGGCATCTGTTGTGTGGAGAGGATGGGAAGGTGATTGTAGGCTGCTCTGAGACTTCTTTGGGTAGTGGAGAGTGGGCTATAAAAAACCAACTCTTCTTCTTATCGAGCCGGATGGGGATGGGAATCTTATTTTTCCCCAACAGTATCATCTGCGTATCTCAAACTGTTACTGTTCCTTCCAACAAATTCCACTCCACTTTCATCTAAATCTAATCCAGCCTTCATTATGATGTGTTGAAGAGATGCGGTGATACTATACATCTTTGTCTGATCCCTTTGCCAAATGGAAACCATTCTGTTTCTCAGTATTATGTCTAACAGTAGCCTCTTGTCCAGAGTACAGGGTGCACACCAAAACAGTGAGATGTTGTGGCACACTCATTTCTTTTAAAACCAACCATAGCTTTTCATCATCCACATAGTCAAAAGCTTTGCTGTAATCTATGAAACACAAGCTGATTTTCTTCTGAATTTCTCTTGTATGATCCAGTAAACAATGTAAATTTGCAATATGATCTCTAGTGCCTCTTCTGAATCCAGCTTGAACATCTGGTGTTTATTGTTCTATTGTTATAGGATTTTGTGCATCATTTTACTTCCATGGGAAATAATGAGATAATCCAATAGTTGCTGCAGTCTTCTTCTTTCTTCAGAATTTTCTTTATTTTCACCTGTGTTGATCTTTCAGCATGTTTAACCGTGCTTTAAATTTCCCTTTGAATTCTTGGATCTTGTGGAACAGATCTCTTGTTCTTCCTTTTTTTGTAGTTCTATTTCTTTACACTGATTGTTATAATAGTTTTCTTTGTCTCTACATGCAAATTACTGGAAAACTGCATTTAGATTTTTGATCCTATTTCTGCCAACTTTCACTTCTTATCTTTAGCAATTTTAAGAATTTCATCAGTCATCCATAGAGGCTTTTCATTTCTTTTTGGCAACAGGAATAGTCTTAGCACAATCTTCCTCGATAATATCTCTGGTTTTCACCCATAGTTCTTCAGTTCCTGTTCACTTCAACTTAGTAATGTGAATCTGTTATTGACATGGTCTTTAAACACTTGAATGGTGGTTATGTTGACAGAACTGAGCCAGCTGGGCTGGGAGAAAGAACCCAGGAAAAAAGCTGCTGGGAATGTGAGTGTTAATTTTTTGCCTTTCCTAAACTGCTAAAGGGAGCTGTGGTGGCTCAAGTGGTTAAGACGCTGAACTGCAGGCTGTGGAAGGTCGGTAGTTCAGCAGTTCACCACCCGAGTTGCGCATAACGGAGTGCTCCCGTCTCTAGTTCCAGCTCCTGCCAACCTAGCAGTTCCAAAGCAAGAAATTGCAAGTAGATAAATAGGTACCACTTCGGTGGGAAGGTAACAGCGTTCTGTGCGCCTTGGTGTTTAGTCATGCCGGCCACATGACCACGGAAACGTCTTCGGACAGCGCTGGCTCTTCGGCTTTGAAACGGAGATGAGCACCGCAACCCTAGAGTCGGATTCGACTGGCTTTCGAGGAAGGGAACCCTTACCTTTACCTTACTTTGAAGGTGCTTTCCGCACTACCTTTCACACAACAGAAATCACCCTCCCCTACCTTCTATTCAGTTTATTTAAAATGTATATCCCTGTTGTCCTCACTTCAGTTCAAAGCCGCTTACCGGAACATAAAACCAAAACACTGAAGCAGCCAAGCAACCGCATCCTTTGGGGGGGGGGGGCATCTCCACCGTATTTGGTAAGCGTAAAAAGGAAGGCACTGCCTCCCCTGCGAGGTCTAATACCAGCTGCAGCAGAGCAGATTTCTTCCGGGAACTGTGAGGGCTGTGAGAGAAAGAGCTCCTCCTCCATGATCCCGCTACGCAACATCCGATTAGCGTCAGGAACAATGTTCCCTCTAAGCTGTGGATTCCTGTGAGCAAAAATTCTACTTTGTGAGCTACCAGCATTAAAGTTGTGAGCAGGCAGGTGATTTGGCTACTGCATAAATTAGTTTGCTCTGGATTGGAGCCATCCTTCCTGAGCTAAGACAAAAATGTGTGAGCCGGAGGCTAAAAAACGGTGAGCTAGCTCACACCAACTCAGCTTAGAGGGAACACTAGGAACGGATAATTTAGCGAACAACCACAACCCGTTTCCTTTCATCCACCCAGGATTACCACGCTTGACAGCCCCAGCCTTTTATGAAATAAAACCCTGCACGTCTTCCCGGCAAAATCCGCGGTGGGAGACGCGCTGCTTTTTCCTCGAGAGACAAACCCGCCCACCGGCCGAGCTGAAGTCCCGCCTCCAGCGCCGCGCCAGGCTCTTGTGCCCGCCCCGCCTTCCTTTCTCCCGGCAAGGAGCCGCCGTTCTCTGTGCCAGCTCTCTGTCTGCAGCCGGTTTTGCCTGCCTTTTGAAAGGAAGCCTGAAGCTTGAGGGCGGCCGGGAGACGAAGTCCGATGGCCGGGGAGGAAGGAGGGGATTCGGGCTCGTCTGCTGCAGAGCCCAGTCCCGACACAGGGGCTGGTGCCGGTGCAGCTGGAGGAGAGGCCGGCGGTGGCAGCGGCTACGACACCAAGTGCATTTTCTGCAGGATCACTCACGGGGAGGAGCCGGGCACCGAACTGCTGCCTTGCGAGGTGAGGCTACTCTGTAACACGCCCCCCCCCCCTCCCCGGCCTCCTGAGCCTAGAGGAAGGGCCAGGGGACTCTTCTCCCTTACAACACTCGTTTGCCTTCGATGTTTGCAGTAGTTCTGGGGAGCGATCCATCCCTAGGCTTCGCTCCCTTCTACGTAGAGAGGTCACATTTACAGCCCTAAAAGAGGAGCCTGGCCTATGGCGGCGAAAAGAACCCTAGGTTCTGGCTGCAGCCCAGATCCAGCTGTAAATTGGTCCTTAAAACGTGCATGCTGCTTCTCAGGTTGTCTCGCAAAGACGGGCTCAAAATCTTTAAAAATTGAACTACGATAAGATGAACCGCATCAGATGAGACTATTTATGATTCAGTGCCATGGTCCATATGTATGCATAAAAGGTAAAGGTTCCCTTGCTGGAAAGCCAGTCGAGTCCGACTCTAGGGTTGCGTTGCTCATCTCCGTTTCAAAGCCGAAGAGCCAGCGCTGTCCGAAGACGTTTCCGTGGTCATGTGGCCGGCATGACTAAACACCAAGGCGCACGGAACGCTGTTACCTTCCCACCGAAGTGGTACCTATTTATCTACTTGCAATTTCTTGCTTTCGAACTGCTAGGTTGGCAGGAGCTGGAACTAGAGACAGGAGCTCACTCCATCATGTGGCAACTCAGGTCTTGAGCTGCTGAACTACTGACCTTCCACAGCCTGCAGTTCAGCATCTTAACTACTTCAGCCACCGCAGCTCCATATGTATGCATACTGCTTTGTAATCTAAGCACATCGTTAGGAGAGGGCTACTTGTGATATAGTCTGTATGTGTATCTGGAGGGAAATAAAGAGCAAGGTTGCTGGTAGAAAATGGATGAAAACATTAATGACAGAGGAGAAGGGCAAATTGAAAAGAGACCTGAAGGAGGGACAAAAAAGAGAAGATCGCAGGCAGACTGGAAGAGAGGGAAAGTGGGCGTGGAGTAACAGAAATGGAGACTGTCTGGAACTTTCTCAGATAGAGATAACTGAGAGTGGGCTACTTACCCTGTTGGAAAGTCTGTGAACAAAATCTGCTGTGATTCTCTTAAAGCCAGGGAGGAGCCAATTTAGTGATGAGTGATTAAATCCTTCTCACACACACAAAATAGGTTTTTGCCTGTTTGACCCCACAAGGGGAAATGTAGCTTTCATCCCCCCATAGGGCAAATAGGGACTGACTGAAGGGGAAGGCCACAGTCCCATGCTATCTTTTTTTATCCTTAAAAACAAACATGCAAAAGAGCTATTCTTGGCCCACCCATCTGTAGTTTGCCAGTGTCACCAAAGGGAATTATTTGTGTTTATTCACTATTGTGTTAGCCAATTAGAAGTATTAACTATTTAAATCAGTAGCATACAGATATACTGAGGGCAGTGAGTTGAAGATCTAAATCTTTTTTAATGTGCCGATGCAGTTCTGCTTCTTGCATTGTGTCACCTTTGCATCTTTTTTAACACAATTCCACCTGCTGTTTAGCTACTTTTAGTGCCTTCGCACTCCTCGTATACCTGGAATGTGCAGTACTGGAGGGCTCACTTCAAAAAAGTATGTGGACAGAATGGAGTGGGTGCAGAAGAGAACAATGAGGATGATCAGAGGCCTGGAAACCAAGCCCTACAAGGAAAGGCTGAGGGACTTGGGAATGTTCAATCTGGAGAAGAGGAGATTGAGGGGGAAAAGACTGCTCTCTTTAAGTATTTGAAGGGCTGTCACTTAGAGGAGGGCAGGGAGCTGTTCCTGTTGGCAGCAGAGGATAGGACTGACAATCATTTTATTTCTGTCTTTTCTTGTTGCCTGTTTAGCTAGGGTGAATGAATACCCAGTGATGTAGGTTTTCTGGGAAGGTTCAATGGGAACATTTTCCAATTCAAATTTAATAATAATCTGGGTAACAAAAATGAGACTCGTGCATACTGCATAGGGAAATATACTTCTAGGTAGTGGTGTGTATGAACAAGATCTTGGGATGGGGGGGGGGTTGTAAGCTAAATATGAGCAGTCAGTGTCATGCAGCTGCAAAAAAGGCTAATGTGGTCTTGGTATGTATTAATAGAGGCATAACATCCAAAACACAAGATGTCATAGTTCTGCTGTACACTGCATTGGTCAGGCTGCACCTGGAATGTGCAGTACTGGAGGGCTCACTTCAAAAAAGTATGTGGACAGAATGGAGTGGGTGCAGAAGAGAACAATGAGGATGATCAGAGGCCTGGAAACCAAGCCCTACAAGGAAAGGCTGAGGGACTTGGGAATGTTCAATCTGGAGAAGAGGAGACTGAGGGGGAAAAGACTGCTCTCTTTAAGTATTTGAAGGGCTGTCACTTAGAGGAGGGCAGGGAGCTGTTCCTGTTGGCAGCAGAGGATAGGACTGACGATAATGGGTTTAAATTGCGGTCAAAAAGATACCAGCTGGATATTAGTAAAGGTTCCCTTGCTCGAAAGCCAGTCGAATCCGACTCTAGGTTTGCGGTGCTCATCTCCGTTTCAAAGCCGAAGAGCCAGCACTGTTCGAAGACATTTCCGTGGTCATGTGGCCGGCATGACTAAACACCAAGGCGCACGGAACGCTGTTACCTTCCCACCGAAGTGGTACCTATTTATCTACTTGCAATTTCTTGCTTTCGAACTGCTAGGTTGGCAGGAGCTGGAACTAGAGATGGGAGCTCACTTCATCATGCTGGATATTAGTTGTTGGGGTTTTTTTACAGTAAGACTAGTTCAGAGGTGGAATTGGCTGCCTAGGGAGGTGGTGAGCTCCCTCTCACTGGCAGTCTTCAATCAATAGCTGGACAAAACCTGTCAGGGATGCTTTAGGATGATCCTGCATAAATCATTTAGAAAAATTTAATCTTAGCACAGGAGCAAATACACCATGCATAAGCACTAGGGTTTCTCCATGCTGCTTATTCCACATGTAGCCCAACAGCCTCAACAATTGTAGATAGACTATATTTACATATATGAGGTGGAAATTCTTCCATGGAAAAATACAGCATCAGAAAAATGTCTGCCCCATGTCACTGTGGATACCACTTCTTATTTAGACCCTCTCTGTAGGAAGAATTTAATGAATGGGTGTTACTGATAATGCTGGAACCACAGGTTACAGTGGACCCCAAAATGAAGGCTTCTGCTTTTGTGTTATTGTACCATATACAAAATTTTAATCTACAATGGGGCTATATCAAAATGGAGGTCTCAGTATATAAAGCATATGTAAACCTTACTATAGATATGCTGGTGGCATCAGCAGCATGAAGCACTTTTTGCCTGGTTACGATGGTGGGCTAGATGCAGTCCTTTCTGGACACTTATCCATGCCCTGGTAGCATTCAGGTCGAAGTATGACAATTCACTTTACACCTTTACAAATGCACCTTTAAAAAGTGCTCAGAAACAACCAAGTATTGGAGAATTCATTAGAGAAATTGTTGACTAGTAGCCAGTTTGAAACATATCTTGCTTGTGCTAAAATTTCTCTGCTGGATGGTCAAAGTGCTGGTTTTAATTGCTAAAGCTCTAAGTGGCTTGGCCCCTAGACATACGGTCAGCTCCCTTGCGACCCAGCTGGATTTCTGAGGTCACCTTCTTTAGGTACCGTTTCCTTCAGAAATTAGGAGAATGGGTACCAAAGAAAAGGCTTTTTTCCCCCAAGTGGTGCTACCCTTATGGAATACAGTTTCTAGAGCAGTCTACTTGGCACTTTGGTTTTAGGCACCAAGTAAAATGGTTTTATATAACTGAGTTTTTAATTGGAATCTTTGCTTATGTGTTTAGAATAATAACAGGCTTATTTCCTGATATTCCTTTATCATCTGTTGTCAGTAATGGTAAGGAACCTTCTCTTGAGTTTATTTCAGTGTCTTCTAGCCAGTTGTGTACATATAGAAAATAGTGACCATGTGCTTGGATTTTTACTGCAGCATGAAGAATTCATAAGAACATAAGAGAAGCCAATGTTGGATCAGGCCAATGGCCCATCTAGTCCAACACTGTCACACAGTGGCCAAAAATGCCAGGAGCCATCAGGAGGCCCAGCAGTGGGTCCAGGTTCCTTTCTGACTCTTCCAGTTCCATTTATTTTGCACATGGGAGAATTTGGCAACCATCAGGAAGACATTCCATTGCTCCAAGTACAAGCTGATCAGCTGAAAGAGGCAGAAGCCACTTTCACAACAGAGACTGTTTGTAGTGGGTAGGCGTTATTCAGGCAGGTGTGCCTTGGCTGTGTGCTGTTGACCTGCAGTTTGTATGCAGCAATACTTATTTTCACCCACCACCTTTCACTCTTATGATCTTCCAGTGTTCCCCCAGGAAGACATCTCTGTGGTAGGCAGAGATACTTCGGAAATTCTCATATCACAAACCCCCTTCTTAATAAAACACATGAATTGGGGAACATAAGGCTTTAACTACTTAATTCTTTTCTTGGGGCTGTTTCACACACAACTGTATTTATTCATTTATACCTTGCCTTTCTCCCCAATGGGTACCCAAAGTGCCTTACATCATTCTCCTGCCCTCTATTTTAACCTTACAATAGCCCTATGAGGTACATTATGCTGAGTGTGTGTGACTCTTCCCAAAATCATTCAGCAACCTTCCATGGCAGAGTCAGGAATCGAACCTGGGTCTCTCAGATCTTAGTCTGACACCCTAACCACATACTGTGCTGCTTCTCAGCCTTTGATTGTAGACATCATTGTCAACAAGGCAAGTAGACTCTAGATCCTCATAACTAGGCACTGCACATATCTTTAACTGAAGGAGCATCTGCAATCATTATTGATGGGGTTTGTACACTTTTCACCATGGATATGCTACCCATAAAGGACATAAACTTGATTTCAAGTAGTAGTTATTAAGAACAGATTCGAATTCCTTGTTAGGCCCATATAATTAAACTGTTAGGCTTTCATAAAGTCCTTGTGTTGCTTCAGTCAGAACATAGTGGCCCAGTCAGGACCAATCTTTAATTCGTCTTTATACTCAAACCTTTTAGGCAGACTTTCTCATACGATATCCCACATAAGTGAAGCTATAATAAGCAAGTTGTATCTAGGCAAAAATTCTGTGGGAGGTAAATAAGCAAGGGTATTTCCAGTTGTTTCGCTAGTGTTGCTTCTAATTTTATTATTTTGTTTTAATGTGATGCAGCTGCCATACACCTCTGGTGAGTTTATTTTCCTAAAATGACAGTATACTTCTTGCAACGTTAATTTTTCATTAACCCCAGTATATGCACAATACATCAAAACTTCATTTATTGAGAATTCCTCCATTTGGGCATCAGTACAGACAATGTTCCTGAAATACCAAAAAATCCTTCAAAATGAGTACTTCATTGTAAGTTTTGTGCGCTTCAAAAGCTTGTATTCCTGAAATGCATTGTGAATGGGGCGTCTTTTATAGTCTATAATGTAGATTAATATATGCCTTTATCTCAGCTGACTGCTAGAGTGGTTCTTACTAGCACACAATGACCTATGTTTGCCATCCAAGTAACAAGTTTTCATTTTCTCTTCCATTAGCATGAAGACCTGGTGTGCTTCAGGGATATCAGACCTGGAGCGCCACATCATTACCTAGTGGTGCCAAAAATACACTTTGGAAACTGCAAGACTTTGAAGAGTGAGCACATCCCATTAGGTGTGTTGTATTAGAATCTGGGAGATTGAGGTCCCGATCAGTGTTTCCACCATAGATTTACTGGGGTTTCACTTTTCCATATCGGCTGTATACATCTGAGGTCCCAGCTCCTGACCTCTTGAAATCCTAATTAGCGCTCATGCTCTTGAGACTTCACCAGACGTTGCTCACTAGCCTCTTTTTGCTAACTTAAAAACTAGAAAAAGTATTGTTGGTGTTTTAGGGTAGCTTGAGGTTTCGAGAATGCAGCATTCATATTTCCGTGCTTACATAGTTTGACTGTGGAAATAAATACTCACAGTTCTGCACATATTGGGCAGTTTGGATCAGGAAATAATGTAGTCTGTTACGTCTGCTTTCCCCTACTGCTCTGTTCTTCAGAAAAATTGTATTTTGTCAGATCCTGTTAAAGCTGCAAAATTCAGCTTGATGACTGACTCTCCTGCCTTTAAATGTAACCAGTATATCAGAGGGGTAACCAGAGATAATAGAGGGGTTACCTGGTACGTGCCCAGAGTGCTTTTACTTTGGGCAAAAGGTGTTTGTGTGGGGGAGGGGGGAGGTTGCCTGGTCCAGAAAATGCTTTATTAAAATAGTCTTCAGAAGACTGTTTTAAATTGCATATTATGGATGCTTTTATTATGTTGCTAGACCTCTAACATGCTTGGCACCCCTGCTGGTGACCCTTCATTGGCCTAAGTTTTATGTAGGTTGCAAATGTCTTCCAGCCTCGTTAGCTTCCTCGATCACCGATAGCCCTGAACTGTTTCCGTAAATCTTAATATAAGATTATGTGGCTTTTTAGTCTTGTTTTTACTGGCTAAGAGCAGCTTTACTAACCAACATTAGATACAAAACCTATCCCATTCCTCTTCCGAACCTATCCCTTTTCTTCTTGAAAATAAATCATGCTGAGTTAGCATTCAGTCTGGATGTTTCTGGGATTGAGCTGTTGGACTTTAATGCTTTGGAAATCTGATTTTTAAATCTGATTTTATTTTTTCCTCCTGGATTTGACAGTGGAAAGAATGATGACAGCTGGAAAGAGTATCCTTCAGCGAAATAAGTTTACTGATTTGAAAGACATAAGGTATGTTTCCAGAATGGAAAATATGTGTTCATAAAAACAAAATAGTATTGCATAACAACTTTTTGTAAAAAAAAGGGTCATGAAATGGTTGTGGTATAGCTGAGACTCTTAGGGCTTAGCATTAAGTTGTCCAGAGTTCCTTCACTTTCAGTTCTTTGTATGGAAACCAAAATGCTTTTAGTATTGAAGTATGGCTGTCAGCCATCCCATTATAACAGACAGTTGAAAGCATTTTATAGCAAAGGCCAGAACTACTTAAATGTCTGTACACTTGCTTAAGGAAGCCAGTACAGGAGTTTCTCTCTTTTCCTGCACCTTCCTCCCTGCCTGTGTCTAAAGCACTTGCAGACAACAAAGGTGATATAGGGTAGCTTTCCTGCATTAGTGTAGATTGGAAAAAGCCCAGTGAAAGCAAAGGCTAGTGATTGCTGCATGGTGCTATAACTTGCAAGCAGGAGTAAGCTATAAAACAATGCAACTAGATCAGAGCAAACAGGATTTTACTAGGAGAAGAGGAGAAGAGATTGGATTTATACCCCGCCCTTCACTACCCAAAGGTGTCTCAGAGCGGCTTACAAACTCCTTTCCCCTCCCCTCTCCACAACAGACACCCTGTGAGGTAGGCGGGGCTGAGAGAGCTCTGACAGAAACTGTTCTTTTTCAAGAACAGCTGTGCCAGAAGTATGGCTTGCTCAAGGTCATCCAGCAGGTGCAAGTGGAGGAGTGGGAAATCAAACCCGGTTCTCCCAGATTAGAGTCCGCGCACTTAACCACTACACCAAACTGGCTCTCAGATATTAATAAAATGCACAAGCGCATCTGTCCACTGATGCAGAACTAATTCCATAGGATTTGTTATTTCTGACAGACATAAAATTCCTTGTGTAGAAGAAATACCCCTGGTTACCCGGTTAGGGATGGTTCAATATTTATGTTCAGTGTATACCGTTCACTTCATGCTGCATCCTTATTTTACGCTGCCACATGGCTGATAAGCTTTTTCTCTTTGTTTCTCAAGGATGGGTTTTCATTGGCCTCCGTTCTGCTCTATAGCCCACTTGCATCTTCATGTCCTGGCTCCAGCCAGTCAGTTGGGATTCTTGTCCCGAATGGTATACAGACTCAATTCCTACTGGTTTATCACAGTAAGTGCTGCCATTTGGTGACTTGCCAGTCGTAGCATGCCGCAACTTCATTAAGTACCGAGGCTCATAACTTCATGTTGCTTCTAGCTGTAGAGACTTTGTTGTGAAATACTTGTTTGTTCTTAATACAATGGGACTGAGTCCTTCCACATCCAGGCTAATAGATCAGTTTAACCATTATTCCATCAGTATCAACACTTGATATTAATTCTTGAGTGAAACTGAGGTTGAGATAGTCCTGTCCACTAGCTGATGAGTGTAGTCAATTCCACTGCTTTAGTTTATCATTTTGACAGTTTTAGCTGGTATTTGATTTTGTGCTATAAGGCTGTGAGTTACTTTAGTAATCCTTGATTGCAAAGAGAAATGGAAGGTAATTCAGGCATCAACTAGGGTGGCTTCCACATGGAAATCATGCTCCAGTTCAACATTTAGACTGGAGGTAGTACATTTTTACTCTCCACATAAATATCATCCCCTAATTTCCCACTATTTAACTTTTCCCTTGCTTTACTCTTCCAGATCTGTTTTGATATGATCTTTTGGGAAAGATTGTGATCAAAGCACGTTTCATGTCAAGGGGACAGGAAGGTGCACATTTTTGCAGATCACACCTACTTCAGCACCGTTCTCCTTGCCCAGCTCCCCTGTAGCTGCCACTTTTTCTCCCTCCCCTAAAAGGGAGGGCGTTGTTTTTCTAAAGTTGGTAATTGACATATGGCTGTATAGCTTGCCAACAGGTACGACAATTGATATATTGCTGTAGCATTAAGGTATATGTCAGTTACTAATATCAAGATACAGTACTATGCTGATTACCAGATCTGAAAAAGGAGGAACAGTTTGCTGTAGCTTAAGGCTATAACAATATGTCAATTACCATTTTTTTAAACAGTCCTCCAGTGGTTTGGGGCTCAGGCAAGCAAAGTGTGGGGAAAGCCCTTCATTGTTGCTGCAGATGCAGAAGCATTCACAATGACAATGAATTCCATGGAGGAATTATCAGCATATGGAAGTAATCTAGGAGACTGCACAGCACTGAACGAGGCCTGAATTTGGCCCAGAGGCATCTAGTCACTGACTACTGCTACTGTCTATTAATTGTGCTAATTACCTAATCTGATGTCCACACAAGAGCACTCATGCCTTTTCTGCAAGCTTTGGAGCAGCCCATTAGCTCCAAAGGCTAACAAGTCTTTGGAAACAAGCCAGAGGAAACCCTAACATTATCTCACACTTTGTTTCAACAGGCTGAGCAACTGATGGAAAGACTGAAGGCTGAAAGTGCTACAAGCTGAAAAAGCACTTGCCTCTAGATGACACTTTGTGACCATTAAACATAATTGAAGACAAGTTTTGAAAATGCTGCTATACGATGGTTGAACTAATGGTTAGTGAGCATTGCACCCTAAAATTCTCAGGCAAATATCTGAAATAAGAAACCCCCCAACCTTTATCTGAGATAAAGAAAACCTTTAGAGCATTCATTTCTACAAATCAGAAAATTAAGTGTCTAGTGTCTTCAAAAAGATAATTATGAATCCTGCATAAGAAAGCAATTTTATATAAAAAAGTTTTTTAAAATGTGCATCTGGATTGTCTCATTTTGTTTAAACAGTGCAGGGGTTTTGTGCCTATGCAATATACATGAGCAACTCTTGGCATCACAGTGCTAACAGTAGTTACGATGATTATTGGTGCTAAATCACTTGGTCACTGATGCATTTACACGACTAAGTACATCAAGAACAATGACTCAGAACTGTGTGTGAGAGGGATTATACTGTTGAACCACAATATGATTGTTTGAATATAGACTTTATCAAGTTAAGTGCATGTATTTAAGAATAGGAAAAGTAAAAATTATAGGACAGATCGAAAGTAAAGTGATGGTTTCTTTGAACTTAAGGCTGTAAAGTTGAACATATACAGACAGTTCATGGGGCTTATGCTAGGCCTGAACTTAGTCTCCTAAGTATTGCTGTGGAATGTAGAGGCATTGTCAGAGACATTAGGGTGGTTTTACACAGCAAGAAGCTATCACTATGCAAACAGAGCTTGGCATCTAAACCTTAGGGAACATCAAAATGGCAAAATTGGAGATGATTCAAGACTTAGTTTGAAATTACATTCCCCAGCACCTTTGCTGTTTAGTTAACTGTTGTCTTCACAGTGATGTTAACCTTATGCAGTGTTCATACACCTTAAATTCATCAATTTTTTCAATAAAAATAACTTGAATGAGTAGTGATTGCAAACGTGCATTACTTAAGAAATGTAATTACTTCGTACAGTTGCTCATTGCATTTGTGTTTAAAGTATGCCAAAATAAAACAACCGTTCTGTGTCTTTCTCTGGACTTTAGAGCTTTAATCGTCTTTATTCATTGGTTGTTTAGCATGTGTTTTGCTACTAGGATTAACTTACTTCTGGATGTTGGTTAAGATCCAGTAAAACTCTGGGGAGGAGGGGGGGAGCTGCCTACCATGTTGAAATGTTAAAAACTAAATATTAAAGTATGAATAGACTATATATGTATTGCGACTGTGAGTTTATGTAACAGAACTGTGAGTTTACATAATGGAAACCAGTTGAAATACTGTTATGAGAAGGAAAAATCCTAATAAAAGTCATTATCCATGGATCTCCTGAACTTTTTTGTATCTATAATTTGAGCAGGAAGGTTGCTAATTGTTTACTGCAGAATTTCTGAAGTGCATGAGTGCAACACCTAATCAAAGTCTCCATTAGAACAACTGGAAATCCTGCACCAAGAGTATGAATTTGAAACTAGCTGCCGCTAAATGATAGTTGTTTTGCCCTGACCTTTTTTATGTGGTGTCTTAAAGCTTGTACAAATTGTTTGACATTTTATTGGGAAAGTGTTAATTTCAAACACTTTATTGTGTGTACAGGTTTCTGCCCCTCAAGCCTGTCCAGGGATGAGAGGGGAATCCTATACTTTTCAATACATTAACAACAACCCAGAGAGGTAGGCTACCCTCTCTGGATTTCAGAACAATAAACCACCAGAATCTCTCAGTATTCTATAATCCCCTCCAGCTCAGAGCAGAGATTCAGATCTCTCATCTGGCATCTAGGGCTTAACACATTAGCACCTCATTCCCTGAGATGTACACTTAATGCTCAATGGTAGGCATAGGCATAGGAAATAGACTTGGAATCCCAGTTACAACATCAGAGACCAGTTAGAAACAAGAATAATATTTTATTCAGCACAGTGTATTGCAATTAGACCAAGAGATTACAAAATAAGAAACCTAAGGCAGTTTTTGCCTTAACTACACATTAGAGATATGCATAATTACCAGTACAGTGTCCCATGTTTCAAAAGTGTCCAGGATACAGTCCAGTTAGGTACTAACGGATTTTTAGGAACATTCCCATCTTTGCCCTCCATGTGCTGTAAGGCACAAAGCAGTCCTTTGTCTCTTCCAGAGAGCACATGTCCAGGTGCAATAAACAGGCAACAACAGGAGACCAAGAAGCAAGAGCAGAACAAGAGCAAGGGGCAGAGGGTCTCTCTCCCAAGGGACCAAACAAACCCCAATCTAATCATGACTAGCTGTGGCCATCAGCCAATCAGGAGTAGCAGAGTGTGTGGCCAATTTTTTGGTTGTCATGGGTACAAGTGGGGATAGGCTGGAAGTTTGGAAACCACGCCTGCAGTCACATGGCCCCCAACTCCAGCTTCTCCATCGGCTACGTGAGCTTCTGCATGTAGGCCTAGCTTCCAGCATGGAAGTGTGAAGAATGTGGGTTTATGGCATGCAATTGAGGCCATGGGGCCTACCATTTGGCTTGTAACAGGAAATAAGGCACAGCCTGTTACCAAAAGACAGAACAGGAGAATGCAGGAGACATTTAGAAATCAATATTTCTATACATTGGGAAAGTGTTAATTTCAAAGTTGAGGCAAAAAGTACAGTCTAAAGAGGGTTGATATAATAGTGCTATGGACACTGAAGTACTTAGTTTATATTACTCCTATTTTATTTATTTATTCATGCCTGCATTTCATGAAATATAGTGCTCACACATTTCCACATTCAGGGTTCTTTCAAACTAGTTTAATAGAATGTGGGAGTCCATCTGTTCTTATTGCTAGAGATACATAAGAGTAGGCTAGCACATACTGATTGCAGAATTCATTGGCAAAGCTGTAAACTCGTTACAAAATAGTTTCTGTTCCTTGTAAGTAATTTCTTCTGCGTTTTCACCAACCAGCACTTGTTGATGTTTAAGGCTTTAAACTGTTCTCAGCTGCATGCAATATGGGTAATACCCAGCTATTTTACTCAAGTAAGGTAATAATCACATCATCATCTTTTCCTTGCCAAAGCATTTCACCTTCAAAATCAACGAAGCCATGTTTCCTTGCTCTCAGTAGAACACCAACTACCTTATTGGATATGGTCACATATCTGTCAAAGAGCTCTTTGAATGTTATTTTTACATGTCCATCCCGGCCTGTCTTCCCAACACTTCTTATAACCAGGCATAGTTCTTCGACTTCCTTGCCTATGTGGGTATGAGCATCCTTTCCCCTCTGTTCTGTTTTGGAGCCTTCAGGGGGTCTCCCATAGGAGGCATCTCCTCTTTGTGCACAGAGAGTTACTGGCCTGTTGCTGCTGAATGGATTCCGTCTCTGGTAATCAACATGATCTTCTGACCAACTCTGCCAACCTCTTGCTAGTTTTCCCACAGTACCAGTGTGGGTTTTGGCTGCCTTGATATTCTGCACTTTGCTTCCCTCCATGATACTTCAGGATACACAAGAAGAAGTACTGTCTTGACGTTACAACTGTAGAAACAGTACAAAAAGCTTCTAACTAGCCTGTCTGTCAAAACAACAGCCCAAACTGCCCCCATATGGTAAAATAGTACCTATGTTGTTTTACTCACCTTTCCTTCCTAGGAGGAATTACTCCTGCCAGCCCAAGATTTTACACTTCTCATTATACATTTCTATGAACTGGAGGAGAAAAACAAACACCAAATTGAGTATAACCCTTAAACAAAACATTGATGTGCAGACTTTTTGCTTGCAAGAGCTGACAATTTTCTTAAAGCTAGTTTTCAGTAACATTTTAGGCATAAATTTATCTAGAAGTCTAAATGAATTAAGGGGCTTCTCCCAAGTAAATAATGTATAATTTACAGGCATGCAGCCTAATGTTCTGCATGCTGACTTAGAAGCAAGTTCCATTAAGATGATTAAGGCTTTCAAGTAAATGTACTTAAGACTGCAGCAGTCAGTCTAAGCATCAGAACGTAACTAGTATTGTGATTATTCAATCGGCCGTAAAATGCCTTTGGGAAAGCTGTACTCACACTTCTTCAGAGGCATCTCTTCTCTGCAAGTAAAACAAGCCGCCACTACTCATTACAGTGTGTGACCCATTTAATTCAGGCAAGCACCTTGTTTTATGGATGTTGCAGTAAGCCAATCAGGGTAAAGATGTTCACTAAGGGGTGGGGATTTCCCCCCCCAAAGCTGCATAATTTTTATTTTTAAGGTGGAAAGAATATTTAGTATTCCACAAGCAGAAAATATAATTCCACTGAGTATAATATGGCAGAAAAAGGAAACTCGGTTTACAAAAAGGACTGTAGGTGCATGCTACAATACCATGCCTTAATCTCAGAAAGAGT